TCATCTTGTCTAGATGGGTCTGGTGAAAGGAGATGGGGATAAGATTCATGGACTAAGAAGAGAATGACTAAGAGCAGGTGGCCAGGAGCAGGCTTGCAGAATGTGCCCATTGGAGATGAAATTATTATATATGCCTGAGTGGGTTTTTTTTTGTTTGTTTTTAAAAAGCTAAAGTGGATAGAGAGAAATCCTGTTACTGCTGGTACATGGAGGGGATTACAATCATTGTAATGAAACAAGGTGTATTTGTTGAATGTAAAACTGATGATATGCCCAGTAAACTTTCACTCAATCTACAATAAACACGTTAAAAAAAAACACCAAAAAACCATACACCAATTCAGCAGTTTCTACATGCATGTAATTCAGTGGCATTAATTACATTCTTCGATTTGTGTAATAATTCTCACTCTCTTTTTTTGAGTTGTTCCCTCCCCACTTACAAACTCATTGTCCCCAAAGTTTCCTGTCTAATTTTTTGAGGTGCTGTTGTCTTTAATCCCATATAGATAAATCTTAAAAGAGCATAATTTTCAAGGCTGTGAACATTGTAACACCTTACTAGTTAAGTTAAGCAATTGTTTGGTTTTAAGAAGACTTCAGAGGTATTTTTGGTTTAAGGTTTAAAGATGATCTCAGGGCAAACGGTTTAAGGATTCATCCAACCTCCATGACTCCAGAAAGTCTGGAATCCATGGGAATTTGACATTCTGGTCTGCATTTACTTTTTTGAAAATGTGCTACCTCAAACCCTTTTATTTGAACATCATCCATTTCATCGTGAGTACAAGAGACCTTTGGTATTTATCAGCAATATGATCCCCAAGACCTTAGTGAATTCTCATGTACTTGTTCTTATAATCAAAAAGTGAAAGTAGCGCTCTGAGGTGTGTTCATGAGCATTCTGGATAGCTGGTGTATCTGGTAAATGAGCCACGCATATCAAATCCCAAGTTTCAAAGAGCTCCTGCAGACAAATCGTCAGTGTGGGCACAGGAAAATTCTGTAACCATATGCACGGTACTGCTCAGCTCTTCACAATGGTTATCTGATACTTTCTATGGTACTTCCATTTTCCATGGTATGCATTTTGTTATTGTTAATATTTTATCAGCAGCATGCATAATGATTGTTACTTTTGTATGATGAAAGTCTTGAAATCCCTTGAGTGCACATCATGGTGTTTTTCACTGAGTAGTGCAAGAGAGTGTTAGTTGATTGGTCCCAATGATACATACACGAGGACGTGTTAGGATGGAGTATACTGTGCAGGTTGAGTTTGTGTATTCTTTAGTTGCTCACCAAACATTTCTTGAGCAACTAATATATGTGAGACATTGAGTTAGGGGCCAGCGTTTGGAGTCCTTGTATGGTGCTGTACGATAAGTACCGGACTGCCAACCTTAAGGTCAGCAGTTCAAATCCACCAGGCCTTTCTCAGAAACCCTATATAGAATTGCTATGAATGGGAACTGCCTCAACGGCAATTAACAACAACATATGGTCTTCCTTGTCCTTCTTTAAGGAATGGAGACATCCATTCAGACAAAGACATTCTCATTACAGTTGATAGAACTAAAAGGCCAGAAACTTTTCTGTGGATGATGAGAACCACAGAGGCCCAGGTGCTCTGTGGCAGTAGGTGACTTTCCCACAGTTATTTCATTCTCCCATAGAGCAAACAGATCTGACATCGAAACCCTCACAGAAACTGGATTTCTACACCAGAGCAAAAATCATTCAGTAAGCTCAACTAGATTTACATTTAGGGGTGTCTTCTTGGATTTAATACAAATCCTTAGAAAGCAAAATTATAGAAAAGAACCATAACTCTGTCCTATTTTTCTACTGGCAGAGTGTAATAATTATTAGCAGGCCTAAATCCTATGAATAATATGATCTGGAGTCCTGGTGTGGTGCGGTGGGTTAATGTGCCAGACTGCAGTCGTTTGAACCACAAGGTTGGCAGTTCCAGCTCACCAGGTATTCCTCGGAAACACTATACAGGGTCACTATGGGTCGGAATCGACTCGACAGCACTTAATTACAACAACAACATAGATCCTATGAATAATTTGCTGTTATAATGAGAGGAAAGAAAAGTAACTATTTGAATAAATATATTTTTGAATGTTAAGATGCTTATACCTTGTCTGAACTATTCTCCATAGTAATAGCAGAGTATATTTTAAGTCGTAGCATGAAACATTCTTAAAGCAGAATGTTTATTTCACTTACATCTAAAATAACTAAGTGTTCTAATATATCATCAAAAACAAGAAGGAAACATACTGCCCTCTAGTCAATTCTGACTCATTGTGACCCTGTAGGACACACTAGAACCCCTGCCTAGGGTTTCTGAGGCTATAAATGGTTTCAAAAGTAGACCCTCATCTTTCTCCCATGAGCAGCTTGGTGGGTTTGAACTGCCAACCTTTGGGTTAGCATCCCAAAGCTTAACCCACTGCACCAGGTCTCCTATATATAAGACTGGAAAAATTTGTGGCACAACTTCCCAAAACGGGCCATTACTATATTAATATTGAATTTCCTGTTGTTTTTTTCAGAATTGTATGTTTCACAGGAATATCACCAGTGACCTGAAAGCATTTGCAGACAAGTATGGTTTTGATGTCCTCATCCTCTTGGCCAGCTACCAGTCGGAGGAGCAGTTGCCTAGACAACAGATTGCTGTGTATTCTGAGAACCTAGAGCTGTGCAGCCAGGTATGGACCACCTCTAACCCTGACACATTGTACAACCTGCTGACTCTCCGAAAATGAAAATGGACTGATGGTTTATGAGAAATTGGTCCAAGGGATAAAGTCCTTGAGTTTTCATTTTAGGAAATGTTGGGATTGTTGGACCTTTTAAAGGAGCTCCAGAACCATTTGTCTTCTGGACTGAGTTCATAGAGATGCTGATTCATGCCTTTCTCACCTGAATGAGATCAAGTGCTCATTTGGGTGCTGTATTTCTATGACTGTTACCTGGAAGTAGCTCCCAAAGCTTAGTCCTTGCATGCCCTCCCTAGGGCTGCCATAGCCAAGGACCATACACTGGGTGGCCTCACCACTGAGATGCTGTGTCTTGATTCTTTGGGTCAGAAGTTCTAAACCAAGGTGTAGTCAGGTCCATGCTCTCTCTGAAATCTCTAGAGGGAAGATGATTCCCTGCCTCTTCCTTGCTCTGATGGTTACTGGCAGTTCTTAGTGGTCCTTGGCTTGCAGATGCAGCATTCCATTCTCTGCCTGTCTTCATATGGCTGCTTTCCTTCTCTCTGCTTCTCTGTGTCTCCTCTTCTTATAAAGGCATCAATCATATTGGTTCAAAGTCCACCCTACTGTCCTATGGCAATATGATAACTTTCAAAGACCCTATTTCTAAACGATACTTTCAAAGACCCTATTTCTAAACGAGGTCACATTCACAGGAAGTGTTAGGACTTAAACATATTGTTGTTGTTAAGTGCCGTGGAGTCGGTTCCGACCCATAGCGACCATGTACAGGGTTTCCGAGGCTGTAAATCTTTATGGGAGCAGAAAGCCTCATCTTTCTCCTGCAGAGCGACTGGTAGTTTCGAACTGCTGACCTTAAGGTTCGCAGCCCGATTCGTAACCACTACGCTCCCAGAGCTCCTTAAACATATTGTTAGAGGGACATAATTCAATTTATAACAATCCCCTTTGATGCCCAATGTTTAGTAATTGGCAATCTGATGATTTCATCAGTTAGTTTGTCTTCAGGTACTAAAATTCTGACCAGATCATTAGTTGTATCCTCTAAGTTATATATGAATCTTTTAACCCAAGACTTTGGAAGTAATAAAAGAATTCAGCAAATTAATCAAAACAGGCCACTGGGTATACCAAACCAAGTGTATTCAATAATTAACATGAGAAACATACATTATTCATTATAATATGGACTACAGGGGCATAAAAAGGATTCATCACTAATCTTTCTTCATAAATATGTTAGATGAAGTCATTGATTGGGGCAAATGGTTAATGTGTTCAGCTATAATCAAAAGGTTAGAGGTTTGAGTCCATCTAGAGGCACATCAGAAGAAAGGCCTGAAAACTCAGCCGTTGAAAACGTATTTAATGTGAAGATCTACTCTGATATGCATGGGGTTGTCATGAGCAGTAACTAACTCAAGTACAATTAGGCTAATGTACCTTGTTTTACATAGCTGGCTCTTTTCTTTATCTTCCCCTTCTGTCTTCCAAGAGAACCTTGTTAACTCCTTAATGTGTAACTGCAGGTGCTCTTTGCCTCCTATGCTTTCTCATGCCCAGATCGAAAAGGGCCTCTTCTAGTACGGTTGTATTTAGTTCTCCCTCTTCTGAACCACCTTCATTTGTGCATTTTATTACTTCTCAGTAACTCCCCAGAGGCAGTTCCTCAGTATCCTGGGTTCTGAGTAACATACAGTCAAGACTCTGCTCTAAAGGAATCCTATCTTACCATTGGTCACATAATGGATTAAGTCAGCCTAAACTTGACTCTGTCATTTTTCAGTTGTGTTGTTGAGAAGCTTATTAACCTTCTGTGTCTTAGTTCCCTCAATGATAAATTATGAGCTTCTACCTCATGTGGTGCTGGATTGCAAAGTTGGTTTGATGCCCAAGGTCAGTGGTTCAAACCCACCAGCTACTTCTCAGAAACCCTATTCAGGGTCACTATGAGTCGAACCGACTCAATGGCACTCAATAGCAACAACAAAAGCCTCATAATTTAAGGAGCCCTGGTAGCATCGTGGATTATGAGTTGGGCTGCTAACTGCAAGGTCAGCAGTTCAAGTCTACCAGTCACTCCGCGGGAGAAAGATGAGGCTCTCTTTTCCTGTTAAGCTTACAGCCTGGTCACTATGAGTAGGAGCTGACTCGACAGCTACCATTACCACCACCTCATATTTTATGGTGAGAATTAAATGAGATGAGGCTCATAATGTCTTTGCAGTGTGCCCAACACTTGAGCCCTAATGGTGTAATTGGTAAAGCCCTTGACTGCTAACCAAAAGGTCAGTGGTTTGAACTGACCTGCAGCTCTTTATAAGAAAGATGAAGATGTGGCAGTCTGTGTCCACTGAGATTTACACCCTTGCAAACTCTATGGTCACCGTGAGTCAAAATCCACAGCAATGGAGATGGATTTTTTTCTTATTACTATCTACACAAACTCTATGTTTATGATTCTTACGTCCACTAATCCTGTGAGCCATTTTAAAAGTCCAAGGTGGCAAAATACCCCCAACATATCCTAAGAACCATACAGTCACACAGCCAAATGCTAGCCCCCTGCTGATGGTCCTGACTTCTCCTCTGTCTCCCGAGTCAGCTCTGGGTCCTACATCAGTCTCTTCTCCTCACTGCAGGAAGGGACAGCTTTGGCTTGGATGACATTTAGAAAACTCTGCCCCGATAGCTTCTTTATCTTGCATCCTTTCTACTTTACCTTCTGAAACTCTTAGAGGATAAAGTTGGTTCTGATCACCTGCTCCTAAAGAAAAGCCTTTCCTGTGATCCATTTCCCTTTATTCCAATACTTTTTCCCTCGTCTTGATTTCCACTCTGTGGGAAGATGCTACTCTATTACACTAAGGGGACAAAGCTTAGATGGTTCTAAATTTCTTTACCCTTAACTTCCAGGAGCCAGCAAAACTGGGCAGTTAGATTTTGAGCTAAATGAAAACACAGCTTGATAGACTCGGGGGCAGGAACTGTGCTATATTAAGTGGTACTTTCCAGGTTTTACATGACACAACTCTTAGTTGTTTGAGGGGTTTTGCTACTTTTTGCTGATTAATTTTGTATTCATTAATTGACATAATTTATTAAGACCTCTTGCAAAGAGCAGAGATCGCTTGAGTGCTCATGTGAACCCCTGTACCTCCCGACAGATTTGCTGTGAGCTGGAAGAGTGTCAGAACCCTTGCCTAGAACTGGATCCCTTTGAGTGTGGCTGCGATGAGATCCTGGTGTACCAGCAAGAGAACCCTTCTGTGACGTGTGATCAAGTTGTTCTTCTTGTCAAGGAAGTCATCAATCGCAGGTGTCCAGAGATGGCCTCCAACAGTCGGACGTCCTCCACTGAAGCTGTGGCAGGCAGCGCCCCACTCTCCCAAGGGTCTTCGGGGATTATGGAGTTGTATGGTTCCGACATAGAGCCGCAGCCCAGCTCTGTGAATTTCATAGAAAATCCTCCAGGTTTCATTGATTCTAATCAGGCTCAGGTGGATGTCAACATAGACCTTGTTAGCCCTGATAGTGGGCTGGCCACCATTAGGAGCAGCCGCTCATCCAAGGAGAGCTCAGTTTTCCTCAGTGATGACAGTCCAGTGGGAGAAGGTGCTGGGCCTCATCACAGTCTCCTCCCAGGGTTTGACTCCTATAGCCCCATCCCTGAAGGGGCTGTAGTTGAGGAACATACACGGGCTGGAGAACATGGTGAACACTTTGACCTCTTCCACTTTGACTCTGCACCTATGGTTTCTGGGCAGTCTCAGCCATCTTCCCATTCTGCTGACTTCTCTCCAGAAGATGACTTCTTCCCCAACAGTGATTCATCAGAAGGGCAGCTCCCCACTGGGCCTAAGGGACTTGATGATATAGGGATCAACATGTCTAGTTATTCATCCAGTTCCCTTTTGTCAACAGCTGGCAAAGATAGCCTTGTGGAATTTGATGAGGAGTTTATCCAGAGACAAGAAAGTCCTAGGGATAAATCTGAAAGAAATTTGAACTTGACAGATTTTGTGGGAGATGAATCTGCTTCGCCAGAAAGGTTAAAAAATATTGGAAAGAGGATCCCACCAACACCTATGAATAGCTTTGTAGAAAGCTCACCATCTACTGAAGAACAAGCTCTACTTTATACAGAAGATACAACCCAAAATGAGGTTGACAAAAGCCACACAGGGCCACCTCAGTCCCGTGCACGGTGTAGCAGCTGGTGGGGTGGTTTGGAAGTTGATTCTAAAAATATCACGGATGCGTGGAGTTCTAGTGAACAGGAATCTGTCTTCCAAAGCCCTGAGTCATGGAAAGACCATAAGCCAAGCCTTGCTGATAGGAGAACCTCAGATTCTGTATTTCAAGCAAAGAGTCTTGCATTCTCAAAATCAGGTACCTGGGAGTCTGAATTTGGTCAACCTGTGCTAGGTAGCAGTGAGAATCAAGACCAAACTGAAGAAAACTTGCAACATCAAAACCTGCCCACTGAGAAATCACATTTATCAAATGGTTCTTCTCAGGGAACAAACCACCTGATAGAAGATTTTTCTGCCTTGTGGCATTCTGATCGATCTCCCACAACAATGCCTGAGCCCTGGGGAAACCCCACAGACGATAATGAACCAGGGCCTGTTGGCACATTCCCTGCCTGGAGTGCATTTGGTAAAGAAGATGATATGAAAGCCTTGAAAAACACCTGGAATCTGCACCCAATGAGTAATGAAATGCATTCTGTAATGGACCCAAATGAATGGACCATGGCAAAAAGTGGATTCTCGTTTCCTTCAGAAGACCTACTGAACAATTCAGCCAGTGATGCAAGTAATGGAGCAACTCCAGAAATCTGGGGCAGGAAGAACAATGATTGTTCTGGAAATCCCAGTTCTAATCTGGATCATGCGTGGAATCATTCTAAGCCACCAAAGGAAGATCCGAATGGTTTAGTGGATCCTAAAATGAAAGGGAACGTGTATGAAAAGGTAGATTCCTGGAATCTTTTTGAAGGAAGTATCAAGAAAGGAGGATCGGATGCTCTAGCTCCTTGGGAAGATTCCTTCTTATCATACAAATGCTCTGATTACAGTGCATCCAACATAGGTGAAGATTCAGTAGCTTCCCCCTTAGATACCAACTACTCCACCTCCGAGTCGTATACATCACCAACATTTGCTGGAGATGAGAAAGAAGTTGAAAACAAGCCATTTGATAAAGAGGAAGGTTTTGAGTCAAAAGAGATGAACTCCACTGCACAGGAAGCCGAAATGCCTCCTCAATCACCACCGCAGGGACCTAGAAATCGAATTAGTTCAGGTCCTGGAAACCTAGAAATGTGGACTTTCCCACATGCAGATAGTAGTTCTGAAATCAATGACACTCACAACTCACAAAATGATTTCCTACAGACCGAGCACAAAGGTGATAAGAATGTCTCCTTGGAGAATGATGTCGGGGACAGCAGCCAGTCCAGCTATGATGACCCCAGGATGATGCAGCTGTACAATGAAACCAACCGGCAGCTCACACTCTTACACAGCAACACCAACTCCCGGCAGGGGGCGCCCGAGAACCTAGACACGTGGAACAGAGTGATTCTAGAGGACACACAGTCCACCGCAACAATCTCGGATATGGATAATGACTTGGACTGGGATGACTGCAGTGGGGCTGTGGCCATCCCTAGTGAAGGTCAAGCGCAAGAATATCCAACTGATGGTATTGAACCAGAAACTCGGTTTTCAGTGAAACAGCTAGAACCTTGGAGTGTGGAGTATCCGGAAGCAAATCAGGTAGACTGGGAACATCCGGCTTCTTCAGAGCCTGGCAAGGACACTGCTCCCAATGAATATCACATACTGAGTGAGAAAAGTGGACAGCTCATTGCAAACAGCATTTGGGATTCCGTCATGAAAGATAACGGTGTGTCATCATTAATGTCACCCAGTCCATCACATATTATGGATTCAGAACAAAGCAAATCGACTCCTAAAACTCCTGGCTCATTTGAAAGAATTAAGAACAGTCACAGCCCACATTTCTCAACAGATGTGCTTGATGCTTCTGCATCTAGTCAGTCAGACTCACCGACACCTGACCCTGACAACGAAGACTTGTGGAGGGGAACCTTACAGAGTGATGTAGCATCATTGGCCACCAGGCTTGAGAACCCTGAGCATTTTGTACATTCAGACCTGTGGAAAGGTCATAGCTATGGACAAATTGGAAGTGATAAGGAAGGCCAAGCAGCCACTGACCTTGAGTACACAGGTGAGGAAGAAGTGGACAGCACTTCAGGGAGTTCTGGAAAAGGCGCCGGTGACCAGGAACTCTCTTCTCCAGTTGCATCGGAGCAAGAAATCGACATGCAATTAGGCAAAATCAGCTCTCCTTCAGTCGCTTCTAGTCCTCCAGCTGAGGAGCTAGAGGGAGATTCAGAGCACAAGAAGGGATCTTACACTTTGGACTCCTATGATGTTCAAACTGGAATGTCTACAGAAAAACACCTTCTGAATGAGGCTACTGATGTTTCAGATAGGATAACTGTAACAGAAAATGTACCTTTATCTGAAATGAGTCTTGAAAAAATGGAGGAATGTAACAGTCTGGAGCCAGAGAGAATGAATGAAATGCCACATCATGAATTTCCCCAAAGCCTTGCCATTTGGGATGGCCCTAAAGAGAATGATGTGCAGGTCAACTGCACACGTTCTGAGATCACTGAGAATCTTGAAGTTAAGCATACTGAAAACAGTCTTTCAGGAGCTAGTTCACCTGGAAAATATAGCAAAGGTAGTATTTCTAGTGAGTATACACATTCAAGTGCTTCAAGTCCAGAGTTAAATGATTCTTCAGCAGCATTGCTTTCCTGGAGACCCACAACCAACACTGATCATAAGAAAGAGAATCAAGATGATTGGAATGGACAGAATCAACAAGAATCTGAAGCTATTGCCCCTGATGGCCAAGTAGAAGTAGTTACTGAAATGAAAAACCTGGAAAAAGACAGAATGGAAAAGTTTGCAAAGAACTTTGACCACAAGATGCCTAAATTTTTAGAGATTTGGAATTACTCAGTAGATGGTGATTCCTTATCCTCTTTATCCAGCCCTGAGACAGGAAAAATTTCTGAATACTCAGATGCATATCAGGAAAGAAATCTTGTGGTTAGCCATCAGGAGAAAAATGAATGTGACATTCATGAAACTATACAGCCAGAGGCTGCCAATTTCATTTCAACCAGCTCAGACTCTGATGATAGTAGTGCAGATGATGAAGAGTCAGTGGAGAAAGAAAGATATTTGGGTCCTTGCCAAGATACTCTGCGTGAATCCAGAGCTTGGAACTCATTGAATGGATCTAATCAGTTTTTGGCCACAGGTGATCTCAATATTCAAGAATCTTCTGAATATATAGACAGCTCAGAACCAGTAGAGAATGAGAGTAAGTCAAATTCATTTCATGATGATCCACAAAGCAGCCCTGATCACTGGAATTTCTCACCGCCCTTAGATTCATTAGATGAATCTAATAAGTGCTTGGCCACAGTTGATACCAATGTTCAGAAATGTTCTGAATATATAAGCAGTTCAGAACCAGCAGAGAATGAGAATAAGTCAAACCCATTCCATGATGATCACCAAAACGGCCCTGATCACTGGAATTTCTCACCACAATTAGAGTCACTGAATGAATCTAGTAAATTCTTGGCCACAAGTGATACCCACACTCAAGAAGGTTCTGAATATGTAAGCAGTTCAGAACCAACAGAGAATGAGAATCAACCAAACCCATTCCATGATGATCAACAAAGTAGTCCTGATCACTGGAATTTCTCACCACAGTTAGAGTCACTGAATGAATCTAGTAAATTCTTGGCCACAAGTGATACCAACAATCAAGAAGGTTCGGAATATGTAAGCAGTTCAGAGCCAGCAGAGAATGAAAATCAATCCAAGTCATTCCATGATGATCAACAAAGCAGTCCTGATCACTGGAATTTCTTGCCACTGAATGAATCTAATAAGTTCTTGGCCACGAGTGATACCAATACTCAAGAAAGTTCTGAATATATAGACAATTTAGAACCAGCAGAGAATGAGAATCAATCAAATCTATTCCCTGGTGATCAACAAAGCAGTCCTGATCACTGGAATTTCTCGCCACTGAATGAATCTAATAAGTTCTTGTCCACAAGTGATACCAATAGTCAAGAAAGTTCTGAAAATGTAGACAATTCAGAACCAGCAGAGAATGAGAATCAATCAAACCCATTCCATGATGATCAACAAAGCAGTCCTGGTCACTGGAATGTCTCACCACAATTAGAGTCACTGAATGAATCTAGTAAGTTCTTGGCCACAAGTGATACCAACAATCAAAAATGTTCTGAATATGTAGACAATTCAGAACCAGCAGAGAATGAGAATCAATCAAACCCATTCCATGATGATCAACAAAGCAGTCCTGATCACTGGAATTTCTCACCACTGAATGAATCTTGTAAGTTCTTGGACACAAGTAAAACCAATACT